TGGGGCACTTGGAAGAATTATACTTCTGTTGATTTATTATTATACTTTTTGTGGTGTTAGTTATAAGTTGGTTGTGGTTTTCACTTTATTATTATAAAACATAAACGGAAATATAGTGCAATATAATGGCTATGAAATTTAATCCCGCTATGACAAAACCAGGGGAGGAGATCGTAATTAGTGGAATCGCTGGAAAGTTTCCGGAAAGCGATAATGTAGAAGAATTGAAGACAAATTTAATGAATAAAGTGGATCTGATTACGGATAACTCGTCAAGATATCCCATAGGTAATTAAAATTCAATTCAAATCGTAGAATAGTGACATTGAGAACTAATTGTGCTTCGAAGCAATTCCTGTGTTCTTTGCCGGTATACATTTAAATAAGAAAGAAACATTCCATATTTGGATAGATCATATGGAGGTTCAAAGCCAAGGTGGTAAAATACGCAATTTGTCGAAATTCGACGGAATGTTTTTTGGTATTCATCTCCAGCAAAGTAATGCGATGGATCCCATAGGCCGAATACTGCTCGAAACGACATATGAAGCTATAATCGACGCAGGAATAAATCCCAAAACGCTTAAGGAAACCAACACAGGTGTTATTGTAGCAGCCTGCTTCAGTGAATCAGAAGGGGGCCTTATGTTCAAAGCAGAAGCTGTAAATATGTTTTACACACTGTTCACTGCCATGCACCTAATAATCATCCAACATGTTTTGTTCCATATCTCGCCAGTTTATAAGGATGTACATGATTGAATTAAATTTCAGTTAGATAACAGATGTCGATTGACTGGACTGAGTAAATCTATGCTGGCAAATAGACTCTCCTATTTTTTTGGTTTGCGTGGCCCATCTTATACAATAGACACAGCTTGCAGTTCCAGCATGTTTGCAATAGACCAGGCTTCCAGATTAATTCAACAAGGTATATGCGATGCAGTAATTGTCGGGGGCGGCAATCTCACTCTTCTTCCCTATACATCTATGCATTTTAATAACCTTGGTAAGTAATTCATTTACGAATAATTTTTCATTGTCACCTTAAACAGGAAATGACAAACTGTGGTAAGCAATTTAAAATATTTCATTCGTCATTTTTCAAAAATCAATTGAAATAAAAAAAATGCGAATAAAGACGGCGCGGAATATTAATGTACTGTTTTATTTCACACAAGTGAATCGATTTGGCTTTTTTCTTCGTATTAGGCGTGCTGAGTAAAGACTGCAGATGCAGGAGTTTCGATTCCAAAGCTAGTGGATACGTCCGTAGCGAAGCCATAGGCACAATACTATTGCAGAAAGCAAAGAATGCGAAAAGAATTTATGCACAAGTCGTACACTCAAAGAGCAACAGTGATGGTTACAAAGAACAGGGTATTACGTTTCCTTCCTCACAAGTACAGAAAATACTCTTGACTGAAGTGTACAAGGAATGCAAAGTATCTCCCCATGAATTGTCCTACCTGGAAGGTCATGCTACCGGAACTGTCGTGGGCGACCCTGAGGAATTAAACGCGATAGATCAAGTATTTTGTCAGGGCAGAAGTACACCCCTCAAAATTGGTTCTGTTAAGTCGAATATGGGTCACACAGAAGCTGCCAGTGGTCTTTGTTCTGTGATTAAGGTAGTAACCGTAATGTTTTAAAAGATATCTTCCTCAATAAAATGTAATTGACGATTGCATATAAATTTTAAGGTCATTATTGCGATGGAAAGCGGTTTAATTCCACCAAATTTGCATTTTACAAGTCCAACGAAGGGTGTGAAATGTTTCGAGGAAGGAAAACTTCAAGTAATTACGGAACCAACTCCATGGGAGGGTGGCTACGTAGGGATAAGCTCATTCGGTTTCGGTGGCTCAAATGCTCACGTTTTGCTGAAATCGTTCACGAAGGAGAAAGTGAACAATGGAGCACCTTCTGATGATTTGCCTCGATTGGTAGCAGTATCTGGTCGCACAGAAGAAGCAGTGAAAACACTTCTCGACTATGTGGAAAGTATTCCAGTGGACGTAGAATATATCCGACTTTTACACGATATACATAACGAGGAAATATCGGGACATTTGTTCAGAGGCTATACACTCGTTAATTCCACATCAGGAAGACCAATCAAAGAGATCCAACAATATCCTGGCGTGAAAAGGCCAATTTGGTTTGTCTTTTCTGGAATGGGCTCCCAGTGGCCTGGCATGGGTACTTATACGGAAATATTTAATGTCACTTACGCAGACAACCAGCAGGGAGAAGATTTATATAATTCTAATTTCGTTTCACAATCCAATAGGCGAGGCATTGATGAAGTTCCCAATTTTCTATAAAGCTATTCAAAAGTGCGATGCAGTGTTGAAGCCGCACGGTGTGGATATCTTCGATATTCTTACTAACAAGGATAAGAAGACTTTCGATAATATCTTAAATTCGTTCGTTGGGATCGCCGCAGTCCAAGTAAAATACTTATAAAGCCTGTAAAATTTGCTATTATGCTTAGTCGTATTCTACTAGAACTGAAAATATTCCTTCAGATCGGTCTTGTTGATCTGTTAACATCCGTGGGCATCGAACCGGATAATATAATCGGGCACTCTGTCGGAGAACTCGGTTGCGCATACGCTGATGGATGTTTTACGGCTGAACAAATGGTGCTCGCAGCATATTCTAGGGGTTTAGCATCCATAGAAACTAAAATGATTCGAGGTTCTATGGCTGCAGTTGGTCTTGGATACAAGGAAATAAAGGACATGTGTCCACCTGATATAGAAGTTGCTTGTCACAACAGCTCTCAGAGCTCCACTATAAGTGGACCAGCTGAATCAATGAAGAAGTTCGTTGCAGAATTAACGGTTTGTCCCTCCACTGTACTTCATTTATCTTTAACAATCATTTCTATGAACTCCTAATTATTGTAGGCGAAAAATATCTTCGCCAGAGAAGTGGCGTGCAGCAACATTGCATATCATAGTCGATATATTGCCGAGGCGGGAACAAAATTGTTGGCATATTTGAAAAAAGTGATTCCCGAACCAAAACGCAGGAGCTCCAAATGGTTGAGCAGTTCTGTACCTCAGACTGAGTGGTCTAAAGAATCTGCCAAATACTCATCCGCTGAGTATCATACAAATAACTTGTTGAACTCGGTATTATTCGAGGAAACTGCTGCAATGATCCCGTCTGACGCGATAGCTATAGAAATCGCGCCCCATGGACTTCTACAGGCGATCGTGAAAAGATCGCTGGGTCCTAACGTAGTAAACGTACCGCTAACTCTGAGAGGATACAACGACAATGCAGAATACTTTTTACAAGCCCTTGGAAAATTATACAATGCTGGTTTGCAACCACAATTGGCGAATCTTTATCCATACGTAGAATTTCCGGTTAGTCGTGGTACTCCCATGATCTCGCCCTACGTTAGGTGAGTACATACGTACGCATTATATAATGTATTGCGTACAAAATAAACTTGCAGCAATACTAAATAGAAATGCTTTGTATTAGATGGGAGCACTCTGAAGATTTATTTGTATTAAAACTTGGCTCAAGCGAGAACATAACAACGGCAGAAAGGAATGTTGAAATAGTAATTTCAAACAACGATTTTAAGTATATGGCTCATCACGTAATTGATGGAAGAAACTTGCTTCCAGCCACGGGATACTTGGTTCTGGTCTGGGAAACATTTAGTATGATACAAGGAAAGCTTATGAATGAATTATCAGTGATTTTCGAAGATGTGAAGTTTGAACGTGCAACTAACATTTCTTCGCCAGTTTTCTTATCAATCATGATCCATAGAGGTACGTTCTTCTTCAACGTGTATAATTTTTCATGAAGATTCACTACATGCTCTGCGCACTAATTACCCCAGGTTCCGGGAAATTCGAGATATCAGAAGCATCTACTACTGTTGTGAGGGGGTCGATCCGTGAAATGTCGAATACCTCGAAAGATATGATTGATGTTAAATACTTGAAACCAATCGAAGATGATGAACCACTCACTAACAAAGATATATACAAGGAACTGAAACTTCGTGGATACGAATATACTGAAATATTCTGTAGCTTGAAAAGTGCATCCATCAGGGGAACCAGAGGACGTATTGCTTGGTACGAAAATTGGGCTGCATTTATGGATAACATGTTGACGTGAAAGCTCACAGTAAAATAATTCAACGTCTCACCGAAGATAGTAAAGGTAATAATATAATAACAGTTATAATATAATAATATAATAATAGTAAAGATAATAAATGTAATGTAACGCAGTACAGTAAAAATATACACTAAAGGCAAATACAAAACACGATAACATAATTCTAATTACAGAAATTCCAGTATCTGTGTACAAAGATTACAATGCTGTAATATCCGGAGGAATTCAAATGCGCGGAATAAAGGCTAATAGTATTCAACGACGAAAACCAATGGCTGAGCCAGTTTTGGAAGAATACAAGTTCGTCGCTAACCGTGATAACGCGCAAACATCCTTAGCAGACATGATAATATTATCCACCCAACTAGCGTTAGAAAGTCACATAACAACTACTCCAAAGATTCTTGAAGTAATTCATGAAGAAGAGAAGGTTCCAATTGCAGAAACTCTTACCCCTATTTTCATGAAAGTCCTAAGTAATTTACCAATGGTTCGCCCAAATTTGATTCTATGTGCAAAAGCGAGTCGAAGAGAAGAATTATTACTTCCTGAGGATATTACGGTAATTGAAGACAATAAATTGCCGGAAGATGCGAGTGTCTTCATGGCAGCTGCATGCGATATTATAAGCAGCAAAAGGTCAGACATTCTAGAGCAGCTAATACACGCAACAGAAGATAAGGGATTTATTCTCCTTCAAGAGAGCGGTATTAATAAAGATACATTTCCCTTCCTTAAATCATGCGGGCTGAACATCGTTTTAGAGAAAAGTCTCAATAAGCAGACTTTACTGCTTCTGAAGAAAGAAGAGAAGCCACCTCAGAAAACAGAGGTAGTGCACGTAAACAATAATGAATTCAGTTGGATTGAAAAGGTGAAAATGATTATGAAGAACGAGAAAGATAAAAAAACTAATGAAACAACAAGACTGGTGCTAGTTGCCGAAGGAGATATGGAGAATGGTTTATTAGGTATGGTCAAATGTTTGAGAAGAGAACCTAATGGTGAAATTGTCAAGGCTGTAATAATTCAAGATAAGAATGCACCAAAGTTTTCATTAAACGATCCATTTTACTCTGAACAACTGGACCTAAACATTGCTTATAATGTTTTAAGACCGGGTAGAATTTGGGGTACTTACAGACACGTACCATATCCGGAAGTGAAGCCAATTCCAGTTCCACATGGATATGTCAACTTAAAAGTGGGTGTGAACGTATTATGACTAAAATCGTATATTTCTTCCCAAGATTATACACATCATATTATAGGTAAGAGGAGATTTGAGTTCCATTCAGTGGATGCAGGGTCCAATACAACCTGATGCGAAGTACGATAATATCGTGAAGGTGGTGTACGCTTCTTTGAACTTTAGAGATGTGATGCTAGCAACGGGAAAACTAATGCCAGAAGCCATAGCAAGCAAAAGAGAAAGTACAGACTGCTTAATCGGCTTCGAATTCAGCGGCATCGACTCCAATGGTCGGCGAGTAATGGGCTTTGTAGATAGCAAGTAAGATGAATTATTTACAATTGTAATTTGCTTTGTTTTTTTAATTGTCTGTCAATAAACTCATCTATTAATTTGTTATTCAGGGCTATATCGAATCTAGTCACTCCTGATAAATTAACTGTGTGGCCAGTACCAGATGAGTGGTCCCTCGAAGATGCAGCAACAATTCCGTCTGCCTACTTCACCGTACTCTACGCTTTCTTCTACTTCGGGAAATTAAAAAAAGGGGAAAAGGTACTGATCCATGCAGGAAGTGGTGCTGTAGGTCAGGCAGCGATCAACGTGGCCCTCGCAGAAGGTTGCGAGGTGTTCACTACAGTGGGCACGCCCGAAAAACGCAAGTTCATTAAGGAAACCTTCCCCAGCATAGATGATGATCATATAGGAAACTCTCGAGATACTAGTTTTGAACAGATGGTGATGAAACAAACGCACGGAAAAGGTGTCGATGTAGTTTTAAATTCTTTAGCTGAAGACAAACTCCAAGCATCTGTTAGATGCTTGGGTTACCGCGGCCGTTTCTTAGAAATTGGTAAATTCGACTTGGCGGCTAACAATAAACTAGGAATGGAGATATTTTTGAAAGAAATAAGTTTTCATGGAGTTTTACTGGATAGCATGATCGCCGGTATTTCGCCTGTTCTACAAGAAGAAATGTATAATTTTATTAATAAACAATTGAAAGATAGGGCTAAAGCTATCAAGCCGATAGTACGGAAGACCTTCCAGAAGGATCAGTTGGAAGAAGCATTCAGGTACATGGCAGCAGGAAAGCATATTGGAAAGGTAATTATTTTTATTCTTCATTTTTCCCTAACGTCATTTTTAACATCAACTGATTTGACCGTTCTTCACCGAATACTGTTATTGTTTCTTCTACAGATTGTAATTAAAATAGCAGACGAAGAGACTCCTCTAAATACTCATGTTCTTGCTTATCCTCGTTTCAACGCTATGAAAGGCAAAAGTTACGTACTTGTTGGTGGTTTAGGTGGACTTGGTCTTGAGGTTGCAGACTGGCTCGTTTTACGTGGTGCTAAGAACTTAGTAATGGTTTCCAGAAATGGAATAAAAACTGGGTATCAGAGACTGAGGACAGAAGTATGGAAATCCTATGGCGTGAAGGTTCTAATTATTTCCGACGTAGATGCTTCAAAAACGGACGATTGCGAATTCATTTTACGATCAGCAGAGAAACAGGCTCCTGTCGATGGCATCTTCAATCTGGCAGCGGTGTTGAAAGATTGTTTAATGGAAAACCAAACAGCAAAGTTGTTTGAAGAGAGCATGAAACCAAAGGCCAAAATCACTAAGAAATTGGACGATGTTTCAAGGAAAACTTGTCCAAAACTTCGATACTTCGTAGTCTTTTCTTCCCTGTCGTGTGGAAGGGGAACTGCTGGACAAACTAATTATGGTATGGGAAACGCCGTGTTGGAGAGAATTTGCGAAAGAAGAGTAGAAGAAGGCCTTCCTGGCATGGCAATTCAGTGGGGAGCTGTTGGAGATGTCGGTCTTGCAGCTGACATGTTGGAAAATAGGCAGCAATTAGAAATTGGTGGAACATTGCCCCAAAGGATATCTTCGTGTTTGGAAGAATTCGATAAATTTATGTGTCACAATAGACCAATTGTGGCTAGCATGGTAGTGGCTGAAAAACGACCGAGCGCCAGTAAGGTTAGCACCGTCCTTGAAGCGATGATGAATATAATGAGTAAGTATGCTTCGAAATCATCCATTTTAAAACCATTTATTCAAGGTTGCATATCGTATAAGCAAATTTAATCCAATATCGCAATTTTATCAGAAAAATTATTCTTTCGCATTAGATATAAAGGATCTTAAAACTGTGAGCCAGACTACTTCTTTGGCTGAACTAGGGATGGACTCCATGATGTTAGTAGAAATAAAACAAACTTTAGAGAGAGATTTCGAACTATTTCTGACACCGCAGGATATCAGAGCCCTGAATTTCGCCAAGCTTATGGCAATGTCTACCAAAGATACCAAAAAGCAAACGAAACAAACTAAGAAGAGAGTTGAAAAGACGGAAAATTTAGGTGGCATGCAAATACTGATGAGGACCATAAATGTTTCTCTATTAGATGGACAGTATTGTGTACAACTACCTGTTAAATGTGGTCAGGAAAAGAACGAAGTATTCCTTATACCCGGTATTGAAGGATCTGCTGAAATATTCACTGCTTTAGCACCGAAATTAAAATTACCTGCTACTTGTCTACAACTAGGAATAAACGATTCGGTTGAATCTATAGAAGACATGGCTGATCTCCTCATACCTGTACGTTTTCTAAGAAAAGATGATTTGTTTCATTTTGTCATTACCATCGTTATAAATAATACAATTTTTAATTTCCGTTATTTTTTAGCACATTCTAGCAAGGACCAAAGGTCGCAGAGATTTTGTGATTGTGGGATACTCATATGGATCACTAGTAGCTATAGAGTTAATAAGGAAACTGGAAGCTCGTGCGTTAGTTGGGCACCTTATATTATTAGATGGTTCTCCCGATTACATGAAAGCCATAAAGTTTGAACACTTCGTAGCTGCTTCAGAACACGAATATCAAAATAAATTTCTATCTGACGTGTTGCGCGTCGTCAGATCACCCACTTTCTTGCAGGTGAAAATCTTTCCACAATAGTAAAAGATCTTGATACATGAAAGTGAATAATTAATTTACTCGAATATTATATTTTATAGTGTAAATTAGAATTGCTGAATTGCAATGATTGGGACGAAAAATTAAACGTGACAATCAAACACATGCCTGATGAAGTACATAAAATCTATTCTCCGGATGTTCAGAAAGCAATTATTTCGTTTATATTCAAACGTCTGTGTTTGTTAGACAAATATGACCCGTCTACCACGTCACCTCTTAGTACACCTATTACATTATTGGTACCAACAAATCCAGCTACACAATTACCGGATCCAGATTATGGTCTCAGCAAGGTAACAGATTTTAAATTAATGTTTACTTATCACTGCACTGAGATTTCATACATTAAAACTATGTTCTTTCTTTAAGTTGACGCATGGAAAAGTAACAGTGCACAAGATTGAAGGAAATCACATAACGATGTTGGATAATAAAAAGGTTGTGGCTGTTATTAATGGCGAACCAATAGAGGATGAATAAATATTCAAAGAAACTCTAAGTCTGGCAAGCGGTCATACCGAGTTAGGAAGCGAAAACGTCAATTTCATAGTAATATCGTAGAAATAAGTAAAATGTCGAAAGTAAACGTGTGTTGCGAACAGTGTTTTACAAATACGTTATTAGAATATATACCTTTACTATATCTACACGTTTATGTTTGTATTGGAATATCTGACTCGTACACGAAGCATTAGTATGTTCCTTATGCATCAATATATGGCATTAAAATGCAACTTTAGTTATAATTGCTTAAAGATCAACGATTTTATCTAAGAGCATCGCTCGGCCTTGTTCATATTTATTAATTCGTGTAACGAGAATTCGTATTCGAATTCTCGTACATATGCATTGGTTTCTCGGAATTACATATGCGGGAAAGGGAACGAAAATATTCGATGTCTACGCCACTTAACGCCAAAGAAAATTTTCCTACAGAGGAAACTCCCCGCTACGAAACACAAATTATTTCTTTGCTTTGTATTGTACGGTGATTGGGGAAATCGACCGCTTCGCGGTCGGTTTAATACATTTTTAATTCCAAATTGCAATAACTTTTATTTATTTTGCGTACCCCGTTTCTCCTCTCCTCTGGACCCTGTTAGGTTCGCTCCTAACAATAATTAGTATTGAATTCTGCATTAAAATTATTTTGAATTGTGAAACGAAATAATAGCTTTCCCTGTACACACCTGGACAAAAAGATAGCACACATGTGCTATCATTAAGTTATAATGAATACAGTCAAAATCCCCGAAATTTGACGAGTGGTATATAAACAGTACCCGATAGTAATATAATATTTATAAAGAAAATAAAACGTCTCTTCTTGGTTTTTAAAATTATTAACCAAATATGTCAAATAGGGTCGGCGAAATGATAGCACATTTTCAAAATTGTCATATTTATTGTTTATTATTTATTATATGTTCACATGTACAAAGATAGAATACATTTTATGAATAGTATGTCGATCCGCTTTTATTTTCAATAATTTCTAACATTCGTTTTGAGTGGGAATGGTACAATTTTCGAACGTAATCTTGTGATATATCGTCCCACTCTTTTTTAAGGCACTTTTTTAGTTGAACAATATTTTCAAATTGCCTATTTTCATTATAGAAAGCTGCAGCAAGTTTCCCCCAACAGTTTTCAATAATATTTAAGTCAGGGGAGCTCACTGGCCAGTCCAAAACTGAAATATTTTCCGATAAAAAATACTCTTTAATGATTTTAGCGGTGTGAACTGCAGCATTGTCTTGCTGAAAGATGAAATTATCAATAGCAATATGTGCTGTATACTTGCTAATTTGCTCTCGTATCAAATTACGATACATGATAGCATTCATTCTGCCGTTAAAAAATATTAAATCGGTCTTTCCATTGTATCCAATACCTGCCTAAAGCATAATACTGCCTTCACCCAACTGAGATCGCACCTGTGTCAGTTTTTCTTTTCTCACGTCGTGATAGTAATAATTGAAGCCATAAAAGCAGCACGTAAAATGGCACGTTTTTCGCGTGCAGTAACCGCAGCAGGTTTCCCACAACTTTTTTTGTACCGTAATTGTTAACATCTTTTAATAAGTTATAGATAACTTTTTTATTTCTGTCGATAGATTTCGCAATTTTCGAAATTGAAAAATTTTATTTTCTTAATTCTAAAATTGTTTTAATCTCTCCTTCATTTAACTTTTTTCCACGTCCCATTTTTATAAGAAATATTTATAGTGTTCCAGATAACAATTCTCTACACGACTCTACGTTTACTCAACTTAAAATACAGAGAGACTAAGAAATGTAAACGAAAAGCTTACAATTAGTGTGCTATCATTTCGCCGACCGTATTTCGAAATCATTATTGATACATACAAGGGGAATAGTAAAGCTACAGTTTGTAAGTTATATATTACAACGAGGTAATGATTATATACCACTCGTCAAATTTAGAGGATTTTGACTGTATTCATTAGAACTTAATGATAGCACACATGTGCTATCTTTTTGTCCAGGTGTGTACTATATTTTTCCTATCGCATGATCTCTAATTTCAATATGCAGTATTGTTGCTTCAAATAATATGAATCAATTATTTAAATTTTCTGTGGGAAAGTTCTATTCATACTAGACACAAAGACTGCATAATAAAGAGGTGAAGTTCGTTCATATCAGAGAATTTTCCTATCACATGTCATATTCATGAAACGTATAAATTGCAAATCTCATTTATTGATTTCACTACAGGGTCGGCACGACGCAGGTTCAGCGCGTTCGCCGGAATCCGGCCTCGCGTTTTGAGAGGCTCCGCGGTCTACGAAATCTCATCACACATATTGCAGAACCCCTATATAATAGACTGAATATTGTGCGTGGAAAATGGAATCGGATAATCGATGACAACTTGCTGCACACTAACATGAGTGCAAAATTTGCAAGACATTTTTGTACTAAAAACGATTTACAAATTATTCT